TGATTTAACGACTGAACAACAAAAGTTAGAGAGGTTCCTTTCTGAGTTTCTTTCTCTTCCCATTATGCAGCTGTGGGCTATACCTCCTGTTATCTAAACGTTCCCTAGGTAGCATCTCTTCCCCCTGTCTCCCAAGGTCATTCTCATTCCATTACACTTCTAAAGAATATTCAGCAAATGCTGGTAATTGGTCAACTCAAGCTTTATTCCAAAGATTAAGAATTGTCCAAATACTGCTATAATATATGTGGTTCCCACTAAAGCTGGTTTTTTGTAAAATAAATATTGCAAGGTCAAATAATTCTAATTTTATCAGTTCCATTGTTACAGCTTCTAACCTTTTGCCGGATGAGGATAATAATTAAACAGAATAACTTGTTTATTAGAAAATTATATTTAGATCAGCTATAACTACCTGATCTAGCTGTATCCTAAATAAAAGAATGAAAAGATGCAATCTGCTGGACCACATAGAGTGTACCATGGTACCTACTCTACTAACAGAGGACAGAAAGAGAGAAGTTGTGGGGACAAGGCACAGGAACTGAAAGTGATTATAGCCCTGAGAACGTCTAACCAGTTAGAAGCATTCTAGGTTGTGTCAAAGAGGGAATATAAAGGAGTCCAAGAATGGAATTCATGCATTAACTATGATTACATTGATTGGCCCAAAGACTGCTATTTTGAGAAAGGATGAAAAGGCAATGCATACAGAAGTACAGCTTCTACCAGTGCAAGGATTAGTTTATTTCCCAGGGATTTTCCACTTGAAATTCAGCAAAGTGGATACCAAATGCAGTGGGGTGCCACAACTGAGAAGACCCTATTCAAAATATTACACTATAGAATATTTTCATTGGTGAAATAACATGCAGAGATTCCACTGCCAATCTTATAGCATGAAGGCTAACCAAACTAACAGATGAATGATACTCTTTTGATTTTAATTTTGATTTTGTGACTAAGTATGGAGGATGATTAGCAGGAAGTGGAGCAGGATGTACAGTACATACAGTTTAGTTTTCCACAGCATTTGCACACAATTAGCTTCTGCTTGAAATGTTTAATCTTGGAAAAGCAGAAGATTCCTTAGCTGTTCTGCTAAACCCAGCCAAGGAAAGAAGGGGCAGAAGCTGAATAAGCTGAAACAACAGCAGAAGAACTAAGATAAAAATCCAATACAGGTCACTTCCACATGATTCTGCCCTGGCTTGAGGTCTCACTGAACCCACAATATCAGCAGTATGAAAGTCAAGCTAATTTATGTTTTGGACAACTATGCAAAATACTAGGCTAGATGGGCTTCATATAGGTAGCTTTATAAATTAATAACCCTTAAATACCAGACACAGAGGTACATCCAAAAATGCATACCCCCACAGTTGCTTCTAAAGACATTTACCAGAGCCATTGTCCCAAAGTTCTATCTCTTCCGTTCCAGAGCTTGATCTGATTTTAGCTATGACATTTGCACCAACAAAAGGCAAAAATCCTTGACTGAGTTCTGCATAAATAATCACTGGACTGGGGAAAACACTGTTGTCTGTACTTGAATAGGGCTTCACATTCAATGGAGGCACAGTTGCTGATGCTGGTTGGCTGGTTACTATGATTGATAAGGTTTGAGCCTTTGGATAGGCATTATGAAGCATGTAAGTCCAATCTCCCAGCTGCAAATCAAAGTGTTAAAATATAAAAGAATATTCAATATGACATTTCAAGTTTTCCTAAGTATAAATGAAGCTTATACACTTGAAGGTTCTACTTCATATTATGTTGAACATTTGTACATGTGGGACTTTAAAAAACCAAATCCATATTCTTTCCTCATATTTATTTTTGCTTATTTATACAATTTTAAATTGCCTCACCATGGCTAAAGCCTGCTCTGGTTTTCTAGGCATCCTTGGTGACTGGCGGGCTGGCACATAGGGCAAGCAGGCTTTGCCAATAGTTTGTTCAGACAACAGTGAACCAAAATGGGCAAGAGTAACTAATTTGGGGTATTTCAAAGTGGAATATGGAAGTTATGATGAAAGACCACTCTCTTTTGATTATTTCTCTCTCTCAACTACCACTTGATAGCAGCCATTCCAACAGGCTTCAGTGAATAAAGACAATGGGCCCATTCCACTGACTCTGCTGAAGATGCCATTTTCTATTGTCTTATCCTCTCTGTCATCTATTTTCTGTCGGGCAGAGTACTCTTAAGAGTC